AGGCCCGAAACGTCAGCCTTCCTGCTCCTCTGATGCTGCTTGGCCTGCTGTGTTCATCCAGCTCTACACCTTGTTATCTCTAATGCTCTTCAATGTTTACTTTCCTAAGCTCTTAATTTGCCCAATGCATAAAGACTTTCTGCAGAATTGAAACCCAAATGCTGCTCACTCAAAATCCAAACACTAAACACTAAACAAAAAACACACACACTAACACACACACACACACACACATATATATGTGTGTGTGTTTAGTGTTTGGATATATGTGTGATTTTTTTATATGTATATATATATAATATATATCACACACCTTACATCACACATGCAACAGAAATATGTAAAGACTGGGGTGTAGAATGTTAAGATCATTAGATCAGCATCTTCCTACATTTGTGACATCACTAGCAAAGGAGTTAGAAAACACAATGCTTCATTTGATATGACAATATTTAACCCCTCAAATCTTGTCCGTCAATTAATTCAATCATGATTAATCTGAATTTTAATACAACACATTAAATTTGGTTGAGTGAGCATAATACCGTGCCCAACAAAATCTATTCATCTATCACATTACTTCACCTAAAAAATTCAAGCACTATCTATCATTTACAATGCCTCATTTAAAAAAAAATGATTACGATGTCGTATTCTATTGCATTTGGATAATTTTATCATCACTAATGTATAATATCAGTTTATCAGATTACTTGTAAAGATGTTTCCAAGAATGCAGTAAGAATTCAGTTAAAACAAATGCGGATCAGGACAAAATTACTATAAATGAAATTTTGTTTGTTTGTGCGTTTTTTTTTGTTTAAGCAGCTTTTCCATTGTTTTAATTGTCTTATGTTCACTTTGTTCCACTGTAGTTTTAAGCAGTCTGTCTACACAAATCTCAGCCCTATGACTCCTACACCTGCAACTGCCAAAAGTGTAACCCCTGCCCATTTACATCCTCCCTCCTTGGTATCCAAGGGCCCAAACATACCTTCCAGGTGAAGCAACACTTTACCTGCACTTCACACAATCTAGTCTACTGCATTTGCTGCTCACAATCTGGTCTCCTATACATTTGGGGAAGCAAAGTGTAGACTGGGTGACTGCTTCACAGCACATCTATGTTCTACCCGTAAAAAAGACCCTGAGCTTCCAGTTGCCTGCTACTTTAACACACCACCCTGTTCTCCGGCCAACATCTCTGTCTCAGACTTGCTGCATGTTCCAGCAAAGCTCAGCGCAAGCTGGAAGAACAACACCTCATTTTCCGCTTGGGGACCCTGCAGCCTTCTGGACTCAATACTGAGTTCAATAATTTTAGAGCCTGAACTCTCCCATCCTCTAACCCGCTACCCCACACACCAGACTTTGTTATCACACAGTCTGCCATTACATACTACTTATTGTTAGCCGCTAACAGTCTCCAATACCAGCTATTCACCCTCCTAGCCAGAATCATTATCCACTCCTTTGTCCAACTGTTCTTCTCTCTCTTTGGGGTCTATCCCCACCTATCATTTACTCCTTACCCCTCCCCCCACCCTATCTTCTGCATATAAACTGACATTTTCCTAGCTACCATCAGTTCTGAGGAAGTGTCACCAAACTCAATACTCTGATTTTTCTTCACAGATGCTGCCAGACCCCCTGAGCTTTTCCAGTAATTTTTTTGTTTCATTAGGAAGATGCAACTTTGTTAGTGCACACTTCCACATTTTTCTGTTCTGTATTCAAGGTGGGCCCTTTAACAACAATGCACAGTACTCAGTGCCTGTGCAACCATCTCACCTTCTTCAGCAGCTCCTTTTTGGTCATGCCCAATGCAGTTGATGTCAGCAAGACAGCAGAACTGTTTGCCACTTTTGTTGATAACCCAGTGGTTGTTACAACTGTTGCCTGCATTTTTGGACTGTACATCCTTGCTGTGGTTTGGGCAAGAAGAAAAGATAAGCAAGATATGACCAAGGTGAGTGATGCAGGCAGTCAGTTCATAAATCTCCATTTTCAGTCTTTCTTTCTCTCTTTTGCCTCTCAGACATATCATCACATTGTGTATTTCTCTGCTTAACCTGAAGACAAATAAGTTATTCAGTTTTAAACATAACATTTATTTGGCATCCTGGAGCTGGAATGTTGGTGGGTGGCATTTGATTATGAGTGAGGGCGTGGATAGTGTTGCCTTGCAACCTACACTCAAATTAAACCCAAGGCAAGATAACCTTAAATGGGCACTTAATTCCCCTTAATGGCCTCATCCTGCTTTCGATGACTCTCCATTTGGGAACACAACAAGCAAGTCCGTACAGGGCTACTTAAAGCTCCAATTGGAGCATGCTCGGACTGGGGGGTGTTCTTCATTCAAATGCACTCAGTGCCTGATTGAAGGACTCAATATTGGGAAGAGGGAGCCCCTTTAGAGTTAGCACCCAGGTATTGCGGCTGACACCCTCCCCTGCAATCCTTACTCTGTAAATGCCTACCCACAATTGCTTGCTTGAGGCCCAGATCAGTCCATTATCCTGATCCTCAGGAGGGTGTCTTATCTGCAGTAGCCACTGCCTCCCAATAGCGCTGTCGAACAAACACAATTGCCAGCTCCTGGTTGGCCAGCAGTTCCTCAAGTGTGGAATCTCTGTCCCTAGAGCCCTGGATCACGCAGAAAGCCTAGGTTAGCACAAGACATGGCCAGCCTTCCTGAAGACAGGTGAACTGGAGGTTTCATCAGCTTTTCAGCTATCACTTCCGTTGCATCTAGCCCAGTAACAGATGAACCATACCAGGCTGTCAGAGAGCAATAGACCAGATGATTAAGGATGATACCGTGCTGACCCAGGATTGTGCATTGAGGCTGGTTCAGGGACTTAGGAGCATTTATCATTTTGGCAACCTGATATGTAATTTTTGATTATTTACGTATAATGCTTGTGAAATGTGATTTGATGATTTTTTGGAATGTGGTTGTCCTTTGTGATTGATAAATTAGCCAAATCAGAAAATAAACATTGAGGTACCAGAAATAAAATACAGGGACAAATACACTTAATATAAACAAATTAATTTTAAAATTCAAATGTCCATGCTTTGTATTTTTACATCTTAAAGCACTGGTACCCTTGTATCATTTGTCCTACTGTTTACTTTTCCAGAAGATACATGGTCTGTTGCAATGCAGTCTGTGTGCTCTAACAAACTTAAATTTACCATTTATCTCTTCACTTTCCCATGGTGTTGTCAATCACAAAGCCTAACTAGGCAGAGAAAACTTATAAATAAATATCATGAGGTGTAAAACACCTTAAGACTTGCGAAGAGCTAATATACTATTGTTGTCAAAATGATATGAATCTCAACCTGGTTTTCTTAAAATAAGTCTTTGCTCTATTGAACTGTATTTGAGGCTTGTCATTCTTTAAATCTGATTTTCTTCCTTTTCAACTTGAAAACAAAAGGCGAAAATAACACTACTTGCTGACAATGACCCATTCGCCCAGTATCGCTATCTGGTGACAGTTTTTACAGGACATCGCCGAGGAGCAAGTACAACATCTAAGGTGTGCAATCATTACAAGATCTGCATATTTTAGCACTGCTGTTTTTAATTTTGGATGCAGAATTGACAACTGATGAATTGCTTTATGCTTTACACATTAAAGCTGTACCTACAGATTTGAAATTATCAGTTATGCATTGCAAAACCTGAATAACTTGTTAGCTTCAGAGATAGTAGGAACTGCAGATGCTGGAGAATCTGAGATAACAAGGTGTAGAGCTGGATGAACACAGCAGGCCAAGCAGCATCATAGGGGCAGGATTTTTCGATGAAGGGTCTAGGCCCAAAACAACAGCCTTCCTGCTCCTATGATGCTGCTTGGCCTGCTGTGTTCATCCAGCTCTACACCTTGTTAACTTGTTAGCTTGCAAGTTTTAGTCTGATCACATGGGTGTTCTGCAGGGGCTGTTCTGAACTCTGGTCAAACCACTGATTTTATTTGTGCTGTGAGCATGAAATGCAACTTTCACTTAGAAAAAGAATTCAATAGAAATTCTATAGTGGGCTCTGCAGATGCAAAGAACTGCTAAAGTGCTTGTTAAATTAAACAAAATTAGAGTTACACTTTAGTTAATTGAAAGCCTGAGTAGTGCAAGATAGCCTCCTGGAAAGAATTTAACTCTGCTTTCTATGTGCATGTTGGGATTTCAATTATGATCTGAACATTTCATGTTGAGTTACACCCACAATCACATTGCAAAAATGCAAATGTTGAAGTATAACCAAAACTTATGACTCCCTCAAGATTAAGATGGAAACGTCTCTCTGAAGTTCTCGTGAGTAAACAATCAGCCAGTTCTTGGAAATAAACGGCCACAAAATTTAACTCCACGAAGCTTTTGATGACGATTGGCTCCAAAACAGGCATGAGTGCTTTTTTAAAGAATAGAATAGAAATTTATTGTCATATGTACATTCATATGAAAAATACAATGAAAAATTTTATAAGTCATCACACCACAATGCTTTCATTAATGACAGAAGTCATACATAATAAGAAAAGAAAGTAAAATTAAGGCAAAGTTCATCACAGTTTAGTTAACACTCCTGTGGTTGGGGAAAGCCGACTAAGGAATGATGGAAATCCCTGAAGACACAGCCGGGACAAGACCGCCATCCAAGGATGAGAATGCCATTCCAGGCCACTGGAATACTGAGCTGAAGCCTCTGTCAAAGAAGACCACCTTGACCACCTGACCTCATGACTCAGTGTGCACTGGTCACCATTTGGGATGGTCAGATGTGCAGGCATTAGGACTGTATGTTGGAAATACACTGAGTAGGTAGATTATGACATCACTCAGTGTGTATCACTGGGTAGAAATTTATAGGAGATTGCACAGCATGGGCTGTGGTGCAATTTGCTGAACTGCGAGGTGAGTTTCTTGCCATGCAGCAGCAAGTTGCCTAAAAAAAGTGGGATTATGGCTTGTTAAACATCTTATTAATGCCAAGACCTTTGTCATTGATAACTGGCCATTAGTCCACACCAAACAGCTTCACTTGTAAACAGTTGCTTGGCTCCAGTCCATCTGTACATTGCAGGAACCTACTACTTTTTAAAGCAGGTTCGCAAAAGGCATCCAATTATTTGCTTTCAAAACCTGCAGTCATCCTTGTAAATCCCTGATTTCAAATCAGTTCTAACTCGTTTCTATCCACAGTTTTAAAGAGCACAAAATAAAATGTCATGGTCTTTACCACAATTAAAGCTGCGACTGGGTGAGAGAATGGGGTTGCATGTGTGAGAGTGTCAGCAATGCTGGTGATGTGCTCTGAACAGTATGGTTTTGTGGCTTCTGGGCTGTAATGTTGCCGTAGAGGGGCAATGCTGGATTGCCAACAGTTGTCCAGGTGCACAGCAGCATTTGGTCTCTGTCAGCTTTCTTCAAGCCACCATATTGACCCAGAAAAGTCTTTTTGTGCACATAGGCAGCACTCCTACAATGAGAGACACTCTGCAATTAGAAATATCAAGGAACAGACCATCAGTTCCTGAGGCAATAGATAAAACGGTGGAGAGGGAAGCCCTCCAGTACTCACTGGAATGTGTCTTCTGATCCATGGAGCCTGTTTTGATTTCTCCACAATGTGGCCATCATGAGGGCACAGACCTGCAGCCGACTCACAAGGTTAATTGATGATTCTGCAGGAGTCATTCCTGCTGTTAAATGCATCTCCAGTTGTGTGTTTTTAAGAGAGGGGTTAGCTGGAATAGAATTTGGAAATGGCAAAGCCTTGTATCAATTCTACCTTTTACGCATGGTGTCAATGACCTGGGTGCAGTGATAAACAGTGAACTAGAATTATTGGAGATGGCATTGGATTCAGTGTGGAAGGAGCCACTAGAAATGAAACCAACGGCCACAGTGACCTTGACAACCATCAACTGGGTTATCTTCAATCTTCAAAACAGCTACCAGTGGAGTTTGAGGAGAGGGCACAGTTCGATGCACTAGCCTTCTTACTAGTTTGAAACCAGACGAACAACATTTTAAACCATAGTGCTTCTCTAGTATGACTGGGCTATGAATGAGACAAAGTATCAGACCAAGGTACATAGTCACCACATATAATATGCCACTTAATGGTTTTAGATGAAATGTGTGCATATGCATACACAGAGGCAAACACACACACAGACACACATACCATTTCCCATACCCCTAAACAAAATCTCTTTTTCTTGAATATCTCCAAAGACTTAGCTTCCACCAATTCTGTGGTAAAGAATTCCACAGAGTCACTACCCTCGAAGTGAAGAATTTCTTCCTCATCTCAGTCCAAAATGGCCTACTCTATGTCCTGAGATTTTGACCCCTGGTTCAAGACTACTTTTCAAACGCTGTTAAAATGTTTACATCAGATCCCATCTTATTCTTCTAAACTCTAGTGAATGCAATCAATCTCTTCTCATATGACAGTCTTGCCATCGTCAGTATCAGCTTAGTGAACCTTCGCGTACTCCCTTTATGGCAAGTATATCCTTTCTTAGGTAGGGCAATCAAAACTGCATGCAAAACTCACCATGACATCCCTACATCTGAACTCAAATCTTTTTCCAATGAGGCCAATATACTATTTGACTTCCTAATTGCTTGCTGTCCTGCCTGTCTACTTTCATTGACTGGTGTACAAGGACACCCAGATCCCTTTGTACATCTGTTTTTCACATCAAAATGTACAAGTTCGCATTTAGCCACTGTCCTGCATCTGCCATGTGTTTGCTCATTCGCTTGACTTTTCTAGATCATCTTGAAGCCTTTGCACGTCCTCCTCACAACTCACAATCCCCCCCTCCCAGTTTTGTATCATCACAACATATAAGACTGTAGAAAATCTTATCAATTTGTCCTTTGAGAGAAGAAAGACAATTTGTTCAATTGCAGTGTTATATAGGATGTGATTTTGCTTGAAACACTTGAATTTTTTGAAGTGAAACCAGTTATATTTTTAATTATTAATGTTTGAAATTTCTAAAGATCGAGGTTTGTTTTTGTTTATTACATTTTGCTATCTTTTGTCATCTTTTGCTATCCAGGTGACTATTACATTATATGGCTCAGAGGGAGAGAGTGACCCACATTTCCTTACTGACCTTGAGAAACCTAACTTTGAGAGAGGAGGGGTTGATGGATTTCTTCTAACAACACTCTTCCCACTTGGGGATCTCCAGCGCATTCGACTGTGGCACGACAATTCAGGGTCCAGTCCATCCTGGTAAGCACTTCTGGGCAAATTAGCAGAGAGGATTTTATTTTGCACACACAGGCATTGTAACAGACACTGTTCAGATATAACTCTCGCTGCACTCACTGGACTGAAAGCACTTTAAAAGTATACATTAATGTTGAACTTCCTGAGCAATAAATTTAAATTAAAAGTAAAGAAATCCACATTAACATCACCTTCAAATCCAGAGCATTGTCAACCTGGTTACGAAAGTGCATTTGGGCTGATAAGACTGGCTTTTTCCCAGCTGCTGTTGATAAAGTACAATAATGTTGCACAAAACGTTGTTTCTTTCTTTGACTTTCTGTTGAGTTGTGTTAAAATACTGAGTTGTTTAAACCAGAATGTGGCAAAGGTATTTATCTGTAAATAATGATGCAATAGGATTAAATAATGTTTAAATGTTTAGTCCAGGACATTTCTGAGCAGTTAAACTACTAACATTAGTTAACTCGAGAACAGTCCTTTCTTTTTAACCTGCATAAAGCCTTCAAAACTTAAGCAGATTGTGGGCTTTGAATTTTTCCAAATCCCCCTCAAATCGGTAGATAACCGTAATTAAACAAATTATTGGACAGAATCCAAAGACTGTCAGATCCATCTTGCCTTTAATGTGTAGCTTAGAGTAATAGAATCATAAAATCTCACAGCACTACATGAGGCCATTCAGCTCATTGTGACCTAGTTCTTTAGTTCCACATCCCACTCCTTTTTAACCGCAGCCCCTTTCAAGTCTGTTTCCGAGTGCCCTTTAAAAGTTGCCATGGATTTTGAATCCACCAACTTTAAGATACGTTCCAGATTTGCAATCCTCTGGGTGAAAAAAAAAACTCCTCGTTTGTCCAAATGTTTAATTTTGACAACTGTTTGGGACTAATGACCCTGAACAAAATTGCCAGAGGAAATTATTTCTCACTGCTTGCTTGATTAAAACCCTTCATAATTTTGAACATCTCTATTAGTTTTCGCCTTAACTATATCTGTCTTAGGAGAACAATCCCAACTTCTTAATCTCCTTATATCCATAGAATCCATAGCATTCCCACAGTATGTAAACAGGCCATTCTGCCCAACAAGTCCATGCCGACCCTCCAAACAGCATCCCACCCAGACCCATCCCCTTTGCCCTGTAACCCTGCATTTCCCATGGCTAATGCACCTAACCTATACATCCATGAACACTAAGGGCAAGCCACCTAATGTGCACATCTTTGGATGTATAAGTTGCTATTTTCTTAATGTATTTGGATTTCTCATGGTGTTTGGAATCCTTTGTTTAACACATTGAATGTCAAGACATGGCCTATTGTGATAGCATACCACACAATAATCCTCAATTTTAAAGTGACTGATAGGAATAAGCAACCCAATACTTGGACGTAAAAAGTAACACTAAAACAGCATGGCTGTTGCGCGTATCCCAAATTCAGACTAGACAAATACACCTCAGACTGATGGAACAAAGCACAGAAATTATTACAGTGATGGATAGAGCAACAATAGAACAGGGAGGGGTTTTTTTTTGCTTCAAAATTTTAAAATTTTAAGTGTCCAATCTAAAAGCCACTTAGACATATGTAAAACTGAATTTCGCTATTTGAATCACTTTCCAGGTATGTGAATCGTGTCACAGTGCTTGACTTAGAAACAGATGAGCGATGGTGTTTCCTGTGTAACTCCTGGTTGGCTATTGATGTTGGAGACTGTCTTTTGGACAAAGCTTTTCCAGTTGCAACTGAGATGGACCTGAAACGTTTTAGGTATCAGAAGCTCATATAGACATAAGATTATCCAAATTATTTTTGTTCAATTATTGTATAACTGTGATTCCCTGCTTTTGTGGTAATGCATTAATGGAGATATCAACCTTGGTTGTATTTGACATATTTCCTTCTGAGTCAGATAGTCATAAATTCAATTCCACTTGAGCAGAAAATCTGGGCTGGCACACCAGTACAGAATCATGCAAGGGTTCACTGTCAGAGTTGTGATCTTTAGGATGAGCTGTTAAACCAAGGCAAGTCTCTCCACACAAGGCACTATTCAAGAAAGAGCAGAGAAATAATCACATGTGCTGAAGTACTATGGACACTAAAGCAGAACAACTGATATTTATTTTATTGCTGTTTGGGAGACCTTGCTGTACTCAAATTAGCTGTTCCACACCCCTGCATTACAATGGAACTGCACTTCAAATGCTCTTTATTAGGTGTACTTTGGAAAAAGTATCATGAAACTATATATTCCTCCTTTATCTACTTAAAGGTATCGACAAAATTTTATTCTTGAGCTAGTCAATCATTGCACCAACCTAGGCTTGATCATCAACACCTGTTCCAACAGAGTGCTACACCAGTTACCTGTTGAGAATGAAATAACATAGGTACTCTTTACTAAATGGATAAATTAATCAATTCATTGCTTTCTGCACAAACGCTGGACTCTAGCAGTCCCTCACCCTTGACTCTGCCATCCAGGGTTGCCAGAACCTGCCAGCTAAGCAAAGACATGCAGCTCCTGGGTTTTAAAGACTGTCAGCCAAGGCTATCCCTTAGGGTAAGGTCAATTTTTTCACTTCTTGTTATAGAGTTGGTGTCACAGGGAGAGGTGGGTCAGGGAAGTAAAGCCAAGACAGTGTGGCAATTGGAAGTGCCATCCTAACCTGATTGGCAGATTACCCTGGCAGGATACTAGCCACCTTTGTTTACCTGCCTGGAAGGTAGGTAATCAGGGAGGTAGTGAGTTGAGGCTCTTGAGTGGGCATTTGTCGAGCCCTTTTGGGCCTTAATTGGTGGCAGGTCAGGATTGCCCCCAGTTGAGTTTTTCTCCCAGGACTTAATTGTCGAAGTGGCAGACAGGGGCAAGTATCTCGCCAGGACCAACTTATCCAATTAGTTTCTGCTTTCAGCACCTGCCTCATCACCTCAAGAGAAGGGGCTATTCTGCCCATCACGTATTTGTGGATAGTATAGAAATTTTAGCAAGTGGTTAAGATGAAGTTACTTTTGCAGATACTGTTGTTTTTGAATGCTGTCTGATATCTAGCTGTGAGCAAATAGCATTGATTTCTGGAACCACTCGTCATCTACTCTGGGCTCTGTAATTTCTTATCCTTTCCAATTTACTATTTCCTCACTAAGACTGAAGTGAAATTCATCTTCTTGTCACCCAACAGTAACCTGTTCTTCATGAAGACTGCTAAGGATTTTCGGGATGGACATATTTGGTACTCGGTTCTAAACCGCCCACCAAGGAGTCCCTTTACAAGAGTACAACGTGTGTCTTGCTGTTTCTCCTTGCTCCTCTGTACAATGTTAACAAGTATTATATTCTGGGGAGTGCCGAAGGATCCTGCCGAGCAAAAAATGGATCTGGGTAAAGTCAATCATTATTTGCAAAAATGTCTTGTCGTGACATTGGACATGATAACGAAATTGGTCATTTATAGCATGGTGTAAAAGTTACATCAGCAGTATGTTAAAAATGAAGACCCTATGGAATAGCCTGTATTAGAGCGAGGCGTTGCAGAGCTCAGTATTTTGTATAGTAAGATAAATACAACAGTTTACAGAAACCTTTTGGAGTCAGACAGCAGCCACTCATAGCTAAGGAAGTCATCATTAGGGTCATATACAACTAGAAGGGACAGTAAGAGCCTCAGATCATGTAGGACAGAACTTGGAGTTCTATCCCCCACAGCAGCTCAAACCATGAGGATAGATCAAATCAGTATACACTGTTATAAAAATGTTCATCTTGCAACAGTAATTAGTGTTGAGTATTTAATCAATTAGGCTGCATTTGGGAGTACTGTGCACAGTTCTCATGTACATAACATGATAATGACATAGAAGCATTTGAAAAAGTAGGAAGAAGATGGTACCAGCAGTATGAGATTACAGATGTAAGGAAATATTGATCAGGTAGAACCTTCATCTTTGGAAAAGAGATTATATTGCTGTTTAAAGTTATGAACAGGACAAATGTGAGCGAATATTTTCACTTTTTTTATTCGCTCATGGGATGGCAAGATTAGGCCAGTATTTATTTCCTATTCCTATATGCCCCTCATAAAGTGGGGCTGAGCTACTTTCATGAACTACTGCAGTCCACATGGCAATGGAAATTGTAGGACAATCCAAAGCTAGGGACCACCTAGAATGAGAAAAACAGTATTACTTGGAAATGAGCTTATGGTTGTACTGGAGTTCCATTTTGAAGTACACAATACGAGTAAGACCATGCTAAAACAAAATTGTGACTAAGAAATTAGATAGGGAAATAAGTAGAAATATTAGGTTTTACTTGCCATCAATCTTGTGTTAATGATCCACATCCTTTTCCTAGTCATTAGCTATTTCCTCAGAAAAGAGGTACTGATTTTTGTTTTAAAAGTGGTAAACCACTTCCTTGTATTACAATAAAAACCAGACAGCAAAGCTACAACAGCATAATGTACAAACGCTGTGATGACACAGTGGTGTTCCTTATTTATATCATATCAGCTTGCGAAAATACAACTCCCTGAAAATTATGGCACTTTATGACTAACCTAAAGAAATTTATATCTAAATACTTTGAATGTATTCTGAAATATCCATAATGGATATACATCCATGTTATGTGCTAAGAGCAGCCACCTTTGACTGATGTAATCAGTTTGCTGTCTAAGTTTTAAATTGCAGATAGACTGATGTTGAAACTCAGATAGACTGATGTTGAAACTGTAAAATTCATTCTAGTTGTGCTATGTTTTAACCTTTGTTTCTTTTTACTATTTTCCTTGGGTTTACACAATTTTCTTGCTACTATAAACATTTATTGATTAAGACACTTCTCATAGCCAGTTTTAAACACCATTTATAAAGGACATAGCGCATATTTTTATTCACACAAATTCTTACGGGTTCTTCCTTTGTCATTTGGTCCAATGCGTTTTGTTTTATTTCCCACACAGGCAAGATTGAATTTACCTGGCAGCAAGTGGTGATTGGTTTCGAGAGCTCACTGCTTATGTTCCCCATCAATCTTCTCATCGTGCAGATTTTCAGAAACATCCGACCAAGATCTAAGGGGAGACATACGGAAAGGAAACAGGGCAAACATGGCCGCATATCGCCTTCTTTACCAGCCTCTTCTCAAAGTCTACAAACTTGCTCACTCACACCTGAAGCTGTTATAAAGGTTGTCAAAAAAGATCAAAATATTTATATTTCACTTTTCTATATTAAGAAAATTGATGTCTTGTTAACATTCAACAGCTACAACTTATAATGCTATTTGTAGTTACATCACATCTGAGCATTGAAAACAACTCTTGACAATTTCACAGACAGTTGTAAGGGAAATACTGAGCACCAGAACAAGAAGTTAGAAACGGTCTAGGGGCTTGACCAAACAGATTTTGAGACAACTTTTAAAGGAGATAAAGAGTCTGAGGGATTTGAAGAGAGTATTACTGAGAACAACATTCCAGCAATCAACACCTTTGGCACCAATGATAAGACGAAGGGAATGGGAACCACTAAATATCCAAATCAAAGGACTGGAGTCATAATTTACAACTTTAAATGAGATCTTAAAGTGTAAATTGTCCTTCAAACAATTTCTTCTGACGTTTATTTTTGAATAAAATTGAGGTTTACTATTTTAAAAACAATAAGATCAGGTGTTCAGAGGCTGGAATTGAAACCCATTGGCTATTTAAATAAATTTACTAAAATAACACTAGAGATGGCAGAATGGTTATGGTGAAATGGAAACAGTATGTTATATTTGTCCTTGAGGTAAAAGCACTAACATGAGTAAATTATTTTGTATGTTTAGGATATCCAGAGAATTGCAAACTCACTAACTAAAACTTTGAAGAACCCATTACCAACACTGGATAAGGATTTGAGGCAAACAACTGATATCAACAAACTTTTGGCATTAGTTGAAAGTATTATCCGGGAACAAAATAAAATCAACAGTGAGTTTTACAATGAGAGTCGTAAGAAAGAGGACACTGTCATTCTCAGCCTTGGATCAGTTGACTTACAAGGTGAGTTTGAAGGTGTCTGGTAACAGTGGACAGAATTCAATGAAGCAAGCAGGAGTCTCGCCTTCTGGCTGGAGACCCGGAGGAAGCCACATGTTCCCTTTTTTTGAGAATGTTAACTGGAAGTGGCAAAACTTCCCTGGGACCAGGGACCCCAGGAGCAAATATCCCACCTACCGAGAGCTGCCCATCAACAAGAAACTGGCAACTCTTCATTGCCTGGCAGCACCTCAGGCGATCTAGTGGCTGCTGTTGGTACTACACTAACTCAAAGTCAAGAATCACCACAGAGCCAGACAATAACAGAGTGGTGGGATAAGGAGTCAGCTGCAATGGTAGGGGAGTTGGCTTTTGGCCAATTCCCCCCTGACTGAAGTTGGGTCCTTTGATCTGGCACTGAGTGTCTTTGAATGAGTTACACAGCCTAGAAGCCTGAAACTTCCCAAATGACAAGTCTCCACACACCAGCAACGGCAGGATGAGGCACAAAAGTGGGCATGCATTGATTCCAGATTCACACCAATGGTGTTAACTGCCGTCTGAAATGGCCGAGTAAGCCATTCAGTTCTAGGGCAGTTAGAATGGGCAACAAATGGAGGCCTTCCAGCAAGGCCCACATTCCAACAAAGAATGCAAGTTAATGAAAAGTTGTATTATTTCTAATTGATTGCAGTCCAGGGATGTCTCAACAAAGCATCACTGACAGCAACTTCTGCACTTCTTCTAACTACAGATGTGCAGCTTCTGGATTTGCTGTGAATTTGACTGAAGCACTGAGTGTAATGAGCATTGAGAATTCATCCATTATTGCTCCATTGTAAAATCCAGGCTAGATCCTGGAGTGACTTACACTTCTGACTGAGGCAAAGTGCTGCTATTGTGTCAAGATAACCTCTTCCTAAAATTGTTCTTAACTTGTGGGCAGTGTTCTAACTAGGCATGACTTTAAATTGTGGTAGGGATGATAAAAATGATATTTTTATGGGAAATCTGAACCTAACTGCTGGACAAAACACACTTAATACTCTTTGCATCTAAGTATTTATTCATATTATTGCTAACATACCCATAGTTTGTTTTTAATCTTGCCCAATTTCAGCAAGATCTCCTCATTAAGGGACACAACAGCATTATCATAGTTCAAACATTACAGCAATGTAACGATATTGATTTAATTTCATTCTTAGAACCTGGTCACAGTGCACAGTGTAACTTAAAACAACTGTCTGTCATTTTCTAGTGAGCAATCAATGGTAAAATATGTTACATTCAACCAGTAGTTACTAATTCTCCCTTATTATTTTCAGAACACACCACAAGCTCTGATTCTGAAAAGGGTGTGATGGATAAACAAAGGCGAAGTGATTATAATCGTTATCTATACCTGCAGCTCCAGCATGTGGAGAATGAATTGGATTTTCTGGGTTCAAGCAAATTCCACAATCCACAGAGTTATACTCGAGCTGTCCGACAAGTTCATCACATGAAGGACCTTCTGGAGAATGCTATCCTGTGTTCCAATTCAGTTTCAGAAAGGTGGGAATTATTTTCTGGGGTAATAAAAGAGAGCGGGTAACTCCTTAATAATGTATCAGCACTTCTGCGAAACATAACCCCAGGCGAGGCTTGAACTCCTATCCATGCAGGCAAGATTATTCCTTAGAAATTTTTTAAAAGTTAACGACGTGACTGTGACAGACAGAAGGACAGGGTACAGAATATTGAGGAAAGACAGTAAGGTAGGAAAACGTGGAAGGTTGACTTTGATAAATAATTATGCTGTTAGCACAATGGAAAGGGATTAGCTAAACTCAAGAAACCAGCATGTAGAAGTGGTTTTGATTGAGATGACAAACAATAAAGTCAAGAAGTCACTTGTGACGGTGGCATGTGGGTTCCCAACAGGTAGGATACTGTAGAATGAAGTGTAAAGGAAGAGATAATAGGAGCTTCTCTGAAACGTACGGTGATAATGATGGGGTGTTTTAATCAACGTATAGAATGGAATAATTAGATGGGCAAGAGTAGCCTAGAAGAGGAGTTCATAGAATGCTTTCAGAATATTTTCTTTGAACAACATATCCTGCAACTGATCAGACAGCATGCTATTCTCAACCTAATAATGTGGATAAATGTGAGCTTATCCACTTTAGTGGCAAAAACAGCAAGGCAGATTATTATCTGAATGGATATAAAATGAGAGAGGGAAATGTGCAATGAGACCTGAGTATCTTTGTACTCTAGTTACTGAAGGTAAGCATGCAGGTGCAGTAGGTGGTAAAGAAAGCAAATTGTATGTTGGCCTTAATAGAGAGAGGGTTTGAGTACAGGAGCAATTGCACAAAGGCTCGGTGAGGCCACACCTGGAATATTGTGTGCAGTTTTTGTCTCCTTATCTGAGAATGAATGTAGGTGCTAGTGAGGGATTGCAGGATTTACCAGACTGATTCACAGGATGGTGGGACTGACATATGAGGAGAGATTGAACTGGTTAGGATTATATTCACTGGAGTTTAGAATAAAAAGGGAATCTCATAGAAACGTATTAAATTCTAACAGGACTGGGCAGTATAGATGCAGGAAGAATGTTCCCATTGGCAGGAAAGTCCAGAATCACGAGTCACGGTCTAAGGATACGGGGTAAACCATTTAGAACTGCGATCAAGAGAAATTGCTTCACCATGAGAGTGACCAACCTGTGGAATTCACTACTGCAGAAAGCAGTCAGTGCCAAAACATTGTAGGTGTTCAAGAAGGAGTTGGATATAGCACTCATGGCTAAAGGGATCAAAGGATATAGGGGGAAAGTAGAAATGAGCTAATAAATTGGATGATCAGCCATAATCATAATGAATGGTGGAGTAGGCTTAAAGGGCCAAATGGCCTCCTCCAGCTCCAGTTTTTTCTGTTTCTATGGAAGCTAATTTTATGTTCTCATTTATTATGAAAGGACATTAATCCAAAAGTAGGGAGCATTCAGTTATACAGGGCACTGGTAAGATCTGGAATACTGTGTACAGTGTTGGTCTCTTTATTTAGGAAGGATATAAATGTGTTGGAGACAGTTCAGATAAGGTTTACTAGAATAATGCCTGGAATGGGCAGGTTGTCTCATGAGGATGGGGTGGATCAGCTTGGTTTGTGTCTGCTGGACTGTGAAGAGTAAGAGGAGGCTTGATTGAAATGTTTTCTCAAATTTGTTCATGAATTGTTGGTGTCACTGATTAGACCAGCATTTGTTGTCCATCCCCTGTTGTGCAGAGGGCTGTTAAGATTCAATTGAATTGCTCTGCATGTGAGTCAAATGTATCCAGATCAGGTAAAGATGGCGGGTTTCCTTCTGAAAGAGAATGAGTTAACTAGGAGAACCTCAGTGAATGAACTGGCCCATGCTGCTCCCACGTACATTTCAGCAGCTAATTCCAGAGCAACACCAATCAAACCTGTCCTGCTCAACAATCTTTAAGAAAGGAAAGGTAAAATATAAATACATTTTTTAAAGAGTTCTAATGTACTTTTTTCTTTAATATTTTCAGAGTAGAAATTGATGCTGGGAAAGCCCCTGCAACTAGTATTTGCTTTTATCTGTAACCTCTCATTCCTTTCTCTGCAGGTTCTCTCCTACCCCTAGTCTTTCTGAGGACAACAAAAAGGGACATTGTTCTAAAGGGTTACCCTGGTGGTTTGTCTTCGTTGGTTGGGCTTTGGTTGCAGTGACCAGTGGTGTATCAGCCTTCTTTACCATGCTGTATGGATTACACTATGGCAAAGACAGTTCAATCAAATGGCTCATCTCCATGGCCATCTCTTTCTTTGAAAGTGTTCTGATTACACAACCTTTGAAGGTAACAGACATAAGTTGTGCACTTGAATCTAGTTACATTATCAAATGTGATGATAATGAAGAGTTATTCTCTACATAAGTGAGTTATCATTATTATAGTAAATTATTAGACATAATTTTGGGATAAAAGATTTTTGGGGATATGCAGGAATTTAGAATTGAGGTTAAAATCAGGTCAGTCATGATCTTATTGAATAGCTGAGCAGGCTTGAAAGCCTACCCTTGTTTGTACTATTCATATAATTTACAGATATTTTTGTTTTTCCCCTGTTGCATTAATGATTATGAAGGATCATAGAATCCCTACAATATGGAAGCAGGCCATTTGGTTCATTAAGTCTACACCAACCTTCCAAAGAGCACTCCACCCTATTCCTACATTTCCCATGGCCAACCCACCTAACCTGCAATATTTGGACTGTGGGAGGAAACCAGAGCACCCAGAGGAAGCCCACATAGTCATGGGAAGAATGTGTAAACTCCACACAGTGAGTCACCTGAGGGCAGAATTGAACCTGGGACCTTAGCATGTGAGGCAGCAGTGCTAACCACTGAGCCACTGTGCCACATCTTTAATCTCCAGGATTTCTCCGTACTTCCAAAATAACCCCCAATCCATGGATAGTGTCCAAAAACATGCATGTTTATGATTCTAAGTGCATTGATGAAAATAAGGATGGAGGGTTTGGAAATGGAGGCATATAGAGATGGGAAAATAGTCATAATTTAGCAACTTAATGTCCTGAATGGCAGTGGGGTGGTAAGTTCAGCCATGGGCCTACTTACTCCTAACTCAATCCTGGCAGAGAGGGGAGAAAGCAGCTGAGTTCACAGATAGAGCTAAGAGTCACATTTAAAAATAGGTAGCACCTATTTAAGACAGAGATGAGGGAACATATTTTCTCTCAGAGGGTTAAGAATCTTTTGAATTCCCTTTTTCAAAAGGCAGTGAATGCAGAATCTTTAAATATCTTCAAGGCAGAGCTAGATAGAATCTTGGTTACCAAGGGGTGAAAGATTATCATGGATATGCAGTAATGTAAGAGTTGAGGTTAAAATTGGATCAACTACCATCTTGTTGAATAACGGAACAGGCTTGAAGGGCCGATTGACCTACTTGTGTTCCTTGTTCATATGCTGCCACCCGTCTAATTAAATGCCCTTTGCATATCCAAATCACAAGGGAGTGCGGAAAAGTTTGCTCTGTGACCCTTTAGTTCTGGGCACTTCAGTGAAGGGAAACAGCTGCCCAGCATCTACCTTATCAACCTCCTCAAAGATTTTAATACAATTCAGTAAGGTCACCTCACATTCTCCTAAACTCCAAAGAGTATCAGCCCATTGTGTTCTAGCTTTTCTCAGCCCGTACTAATGATCAATCCACTGAAACTTAATTGCACCAAGACAAGCAGCTCCTTCTGTAGATGGAGATCAGTACTGTACCCAATATTCCAGGTATGGCGTCACCAAAGTCCAATATGATTGTAACAAGATTTCTTCACTGATACTTGTAATCCCTTTCAAAAAGATCAAAATAGAATTTGTCTTCCTGCACATTAGTTTTCTTTGATTCATGTATGAGGAGCATCAAAACTCTCACTGCCTACTAGAATTTTAAAAGTCTTCTACCATTTCGAAACATCCTGTTTCCCCATTTTCTTACTAACATGATAAATTTATAATTTCCGTATTATAATCTCTCTTCCATTTTTCTGCCCAGTCACTTAACCTGCTTGCAGCCCATTGGAAGCCTCATTTTAGCTTACTTTCCCAACTAGTTGTGCATCACCAGCAAATATGGAAACAATACGTTCCATCCCCTGATTTAAGTCATTGATTTGAATTTTGAGAAGAAGCGGACCCCAAACATTGATTGCTGTGCTCTGCTAATTTATCCTTTCCGATCCAAACCAATCTTCAAACCATTCTAATATATTACCACCAGCTTCATGATCCCACATATTGTCTAATTAAACTTTACTAAGTTCATCAAAATTTCTTGAAACCCATGTTTCACTTTGCCAATCAAAACAAGTAACTGCAAAAGTAACAACAAAGTAACAGCAATTATAAAAGATTTAGCAACTGAGGAAGTGTTCTATTTGTGCCAATGCTTCAGCTCATAGAGCTGAATAAGCATGGGTTCAATTTCAATGGATTCGAAACAGTTTGAAACAAACTAATTCAACATCCAAAATAACCTTACATAACCCCATGTTAAATAATGAAATGTCTGGATAAATGTATGAAAGAAGCCTATTGTATTTTTGAAATATACCACTGTACATTCTTTTACAAAAAAAACTACAGGAAGTCAAGCAAATTGGTAAAACGTGTACATTTTTAGACTTAGACAAGATTTACCACTATAAGAAAAATGGACGGCAACTGAGTGTAATTTAAAATATGAGTACATTGCGATAATTAATCAAACCAAAAGGTTTAATTTGTAGCTGTAAAATGCAGCCGACAGAAATAAATTTGATTCATATGTACTTATGAAAAATATCTACAATGTTTCTGTTGCTTCAGGTGTTGGGTTTTGCTGCTTTCTTTGCACTGGTTTTGAAGAAAGTAGAGCAGGAAGATGATGCCGAAGGTCCAATTGACAGCACATTATCTACTTCAGGTGATTTCTCTAAACTAAATGTATTGCGCATGCTAAAAAGCTCATCTAACGAGGTAACGCTTCCGCATGTGGACCATAAAAAAAGGGCCTCTGTGTATGAAGGGAAGCAACATTTATTTTATGGCAAAGATTTTTGTACCTTATAGGAGAATCTGAGCTATAGGTCAGGTGAAACATTATCAACAATAAGTAAATGATTATTTTTCTTCCTGAGTTCAACCGTATAGAATGCTTGACAACCAATTTTGTGATATAACTTACAGTTATACAAATCTAACTTATAGTCTTTTAAGTTTCTCAAAATGGAGGCTTAACTGTCTCAGCTACAATAAATGCCATACAATTTTTAATTTTTTATTCTGGAATTCCAGTGCTTTGAAATTATATTTATAGAGTCTCAATCACATTTATGACTAAGGTGGTATTTTATATCATTTCGTAAAGTCAGTAAAAGGAAAAAAAAAGTATCCTCTATTTATATTGGTTCAATTTGTGGTTCTTAGATGAACTGTTTCACAGAAGCAGAGAATATTTAGGGGAAGAAGGAATAAAATGCCCTTTCTCATGTTAAATGTAGTCAAGTGGATATGCTATGGTGAAGTCTGCCAACTTCAATGTTGTAGCAAATAGGGCAGTGTGGTGCTGGGAACACATCCAAACAGAGAAAATATGAACAAGAGTAGGCCATTCACCCCTTCATGCCTGCTCTGCTGTTCAACATCATCATTGCTTATCATCCAAGTCAGTACCCTATTCCCGCTTTCTCTCCATATCCTTTGATCCTTTTAGCCCTAAGAACTATATCCGACATTTTCTTGATAACATTTAATGTTTTGGCCTCAACTACTTCCTGTGGTAGACAATTTCACAGGCTGAACAAGTTGTGTCGAACAAATTTCTCCTCATCTCAGTCCTAAGTGGCCTAACCTGAACCCTTAAACTATGATCCCTGGTTCTGGACATTTGAAAAAGAATATGCGTTTCAGAAAGCTGATAGAAATGTCTTCAAGTTCACATTCCTATTTTCATAACATATGGTTTTCTGTAGGAGACTCCAATGCACTGCTGGCAACTCGCAGAGACAGCAGCAGCAATATCTACCAGCCACCACCTCAGATTGAGGTCGAACACATGAAGAAAAATTCCATAAAAGAGCAGAAGGTATTTGGCTTGATCAGGGAAATACTTGGTAAGCAAATAGTGCTATTTGTTCTATCTTTTCAACTTCCTTTCAGGTGTCCTTTCAAAACAGTAACAAAGAAGGGACAAGTTGGCTAGTCTGATGTCATTATACCTTCTGTTAACGAAGACCAGAGTGGCACTAGTTACAAGATGTGTAAAATTCAGTGACTTTCTTGACTCTTGACCTCATTGAGTCATAGGATGATAGAAGATAAAATCCACTAGAAGGAGATTTGTAGAAAAGAATGAGTGAGAATGTAAATAAACAGAATTGGGGAAAAAGCTATTTTCACAAGATACCAAGGCAGCTGTCAAAGCAAATCATACAACCCCACCATAAATGGAGCCATAGTGATCTACAGCACAGAAAAAGGCCCTTCAGCCCATCGAGTCTGCTCCATAAGCTAAAACGTTACCCATTTTTGAAAGTTGACAACAGTTCCTTCAGGGTGTTCTCAAGTGAAGATCTCAGTAAATGTTCAGTCTGATTCTACAATTAATGGTGATGACATGGTTTTGTCGTGAGATGCAAACATTTTGAATGAACTTTTAACATTCTATGAATCAGCCAGCATATTGTTCAGTTTCCTTGAGCTAATAATAGAAATTTTATGATCAAGAAATGACTATCATGTGCAAAATCCTTGTGCACTTGGATAGACCACAACAATCTACTCATCTTCTCAGGAGAACACTGCAGTTTCTCCTGGCTCCATGTTAGTGTTAGCAAGAGAACTGCTGGAAACATTTGTTGAGTGCAGGCCGATGCTGATTAATTTGTGGGTAAGGAATCTTTCAAATGATCTCAATTATACATGCTTTTGAGAAATAAAAACACCCACTTATCAGACATATTCAGAGCTTTTAAATCTGGTCAAATAATTAATCTTATAGAAACACATTTCTATTTGATGGCCACATCAAAGACTTAGTCCTTTTATAGCCCCATTAGAATGTTAACAAAACACTTGCTAAAAGCCACAACTGAGTTTGGTGATTTGTAGTTTTTGAACCACGCCAAGCATTCATTATGACATTATAACTGCCACTGGGAAATTTCAACAAAGAGTTCTCTTGAAAAATGTGGAACAGATGATCATATTTTTTATCAATTCTGCACCAGGTGGTCTGTCCATTAAAATCAATGGCACTTTGTTTTAAATGTCAATGACAGGTTAAGCCTGTTGTTTTTATCGCAAAATTAAAGAACAAGGGATTTTAAAAAACTTCAATATTTACATATTGAAATGTAAGTTTTATATTCTGAAATAAGATCATTTTCTGTTTAATATTTCCTGCCATAACGGGTTGCTTTATTATATATTATCAAGATGGTGAATATATAACGCAAAATGCAGAATATATCGAATAACAGACATTTGTTAGAATGCAACACAGTGAATAATATATAAATGGCCACATTTTCACATTGTAATTCTATAATCCTGATTAGATTAATTGTTGTTCTAACAAATTTGAATTATTGTGATATTTGACAACAGCAATAGTTTAATATCTTATTTTTTACCACCTTGATATCAGATATTATTTTTTCCAGCCTATTTGGGATTTCTGTGGATGTTGCTGTTGGTTGCTTATGGTCAGCGAGATCCAAATTCCTATTATCTAAATAAAGCTATTGAAACCAGCTTCACCAGTGGTTTTGATGACATCTTGAGTTACAATGATTTCTTCCAGTGGGCAAACAGTACGCTCATTACAAATTTATTTGGCTTCTACCCAGGTGAGGCAAAGAGTAGAGTTTCTAAAATATGAGGTTATACATCTATTCTTTTCTACTTAGAGTGAACAGAAGGATAGAGTTATTAAAGCTGCCAGTGCCTGAATTAAACCATGTAGTATCACATGGCCAAATACCTTTAATAACAATAACGGAGAAATCAGTAGCTGAATATCAACTTGTGAGATCTTACTTTTAATAATTTTCTTCCATGATGATGAAGAATTCCTGTGTTGGAATAGGAGCATTTTTAATTTTATTTCCTGACCAAATATGCCATCATCAAGCAATTCCAGCTCAGGTATAGACAAGACCACCACTTACTATACAATTTAAGGAATTGACCAATGTCAATAAATGTGGAGCTGGAAAAGCACAGCCCATCACACAGTATCCAAGGAGCAGGGAAGTCAACGTATCGGGCCATGCTGTGCTTTTCCAGCAGCACATTTATTGACTCTAGCTTTCAGCATCTGCTGTCCTTATGTCTCCAGATTGACCAATATATTTTATTCTTCTGCTAAATTACTGCCTAAATAGGTATGTGAGTGAGACTAAGGCCATCAGGCCCTATGCAGGGATTCTGTCCCCAGTGATAAAAGTTGTGATTTTTGGAATAGTTACACTGTTGATGAATCACACATTATGATTCAAATTGACCTTTCTCCATTACTAATTAGAAAATGTTGTTTTGATTGAGGTATTTACAGTATAAACCATCCTCTGCCCTGGTCCTTCCCTGAAAGTTGTGTCATCAAGTTTTTGCGCTCCTGTGTTTAGTTTGTCAGGAATCTGATTTTATGCTTTCACCATTTGAATTGAATCCCTGCAGTGTGGAAACAGGTCCTTCAGCCCAACAAGTCCACACCAACTCTCAGAGCATCCTACCCAGACCCATCCCTGAACACTAGGGGCAATTTAGCATGGCCAATCCACCTAACCTGCACATCTTTTGACTGTGGAGGAAACCAGAGCACCTGGAGGAAACCCATGCAGACATGGGGAGAATGTGCAAACTCCACACAGACAGTCACCCAAGGGTGGAATTGAACCCAGGTCCCTGGCGCTGCAAGGCTGCAGTGTTAACCACTGAGCCACCATGCCACATTGATGTCTGAAGCATTTTTAACTATTAGTGAATGAAGTAATTGTTAACTGGAACATCAGTTAATTAGTACACCAGCTAATAATTTCCATTACGACCTAATAAGGGCACTGGCATTAGCACTGGCAATGCTATTTCCAACATGCTCCTGTTTATAATAAAAATGCTAAGAAGGGAAGAATGTAATTGAAGAACACTGCGTGGTTTACGAGTTTATGGTTTTGTGCAATTTGGTAACCTGGATTTAAAAAAGACAAACAGTTTCTTCTCTGTTTATCATCTAATCACTAAAATCGAAAGCACATAGTGTCCATTTTGTTGCCTAATAAATGTAATGAACAGATCAATTCAATGTTTGTTTTATTTTTACACTGACTTTCTATTTCAAGCAGCGTTGTGTACATTTTATGTTGTATAATGATGATTGGAAAATTAAATCACAATCATTCCTTCAGAATATAAATATAAATTGCAACACAACCTTCAGGGAATTGTGTTTGTGTGTTTGATGCTAAGCCATTGGGCACAAAAAGTCACAATCCTAACTATTGAAGGGAGATAAAACTAGATTTACCCATTTTGCTTGGAGAGAAGTGGACCTTCTTTCAGCTGCACAGTTGAGCAATAATAATAGCAAAGGATTTTGAGATATTCATTTTGTGGTGGTTTAAATGGATGGAATTTCTAAACAATTGTGGGTGGGGATTAGTTAACGCAGAATCACAAGACCATAAGACATAGGAGCAGAAACTAGGTCATTCGGCCCACCGATACTGCTCCACCATTCAATCATGGCTGATAAGTTTCTCAACCCCATTCTCCTGCTTTCTCCCCATAATCTTTGATCCCCTAAACAATCAAGAACCTATCTATCTCTGTCTTAAATATACTCAATGACCTGGCCTCCACAGCCTTCTGTGGCAATGAATTCCATAGATTCATCACTCTCTGGCTGAAGAGGTTTCTCCTCATCTCTGTTCTAAAGGGCCTTATCTTTACTCTAAGGCTGTGCCCTCAGGTCCTAGTCTCTTCTGATAATCAAAACATCTTCCCAACGTCCACTCTATCCAGGCCTTTTGGTATTCTGTATCATATGTAAGTGGCGTCATCTCAAGTTTCCTGTTGCTGAGTAGAGATGTCAAGGTGAGGCAGACTTGGAAAGTCAGGATGTAATCAGGGAAACAGATTGGGAGCAGAGATGGGATAGATGTTAACTGAGATAGCTTTTATCACAAGCAAGAGCTTTCACTTGTTTGAGGCAAGTATTAATATTTGTAGTTGTGGGGATTGTTCAGCTGGCAAGTAAGTTGGTTACCATTGGTACAGCAAGGAATAGCATTTTTTCTCCTTCCAGACGTCAGGCAGTGTTAATATATGTATTTGCCTCTCCTATGTATCACTCCTTATCTCTACTTAGTTGCCAGTTTTGCTGTGGCACATAAAACTGAGATGGCAAGGCTAAAACCTGGATGAGAAATAGACTATAAGAGACAGAGCCACTTTAAAATATTTAAAGAAGCAAGCTGCCCCCTGTAAGTGATTGGTTGCCCATTTTGCTCCAGTCCTCCCTCCTATTCATTTTGAAGTGAGTGGTTTCAAAACCCACTGAAATAACTGCACAGAAGCTGTTATCACATCACCAAGTCACCCTTTATTTACATGTGCACAGTACACCAGCTGTAGTCAACCAACTCAGAGTCAGTCCCCCTGAATTGAGGAGATTCTAAATCCCCTATTTATATCTGTCAGCCAGGGCTTTCTAATTGGCCCAAGTTAACAACCCCAATCAAAGATCTCATAGTCAACAAGATCCACCTGGTTCCAATCACTACAGCTACAGAGTGTGAATTTGAGATTTGCAAAATTTGATCATCCCACTATACCAGAAGTATTTGTTCTTGCATGTTAAAATTCGCTTCGTAATTTCTCTCTCAAATAATCCATATTGAAACTATTTCAGGGAGCCAGTAACAATAAATTAATGAGAAAGCGGATAAAGTATTTTTTAAAATCTCAGGTTTTGTCACCGATGGCAATTCAAAGCTGGTTGGGTCTGCCCGCATTCGCCAACTGAGAATAAAGAATAATATTTGTCGCATCCCAAGAAAACTGAGGAGTTCTATAAAGGAATGCCATGCTCTGTATTCCTTGGATAATGAAGACATCTCTGACTATAGTCTCCACTGGAATGCGTCAGTGTCTCAGAATTCCTCAGACCTCGATTATGTCTGGAAATACCAGAGCCAAACAGAATTGCGTGGTTATCCAATCTGGGGCAAACTTGCCATGTACAGAGGAGGTGGATACATTGCAGAGTTGGGTACAGATGCACAGGATGCTTACAGGTAACTAGCTTTAGCTGACTGCTTTCAACTCTTCAGATGTCATTTCCTTTAATCAGTGAAACACAGTTACACGTCATACCAAATAACTGCAAGAGTGTTAACATTCAACAGAGTGACTTTTGGCACTGACATTAGACATTCATACAGTAAAACAACCAGTAATAATTTGAAGACAATGGTTTTTGTTCTTTTAAATTCATTTTGTATGTTTCTTCTCATTATAACTATTTAGTCTTTGAAGTACTGTGTGCAATTTTTTGTTTGAGATGTTAGATAATGAAACTTCTGAGAAAAGTGCTCAAAGTTGTTGGGAAGTGAAATAAATGTGCAAGATTTGTGCAGAATTATGTAATTTGACTCATTCTCTAATTTTCATTCCAGTTTCCCCTTTCCTTCCCTGCAGACTCTTGCAGAATCATCTTCCCTTCACTCCGAACCTGCTGGCAACCTGCATTATCAATAAATAAAATTAAACATTTAGGATTAGGAGTTAGGGTTAGGAGTTCCAGGTTTAAGTCCCACCTCTACTGGGGTGTTTCATTACATGTCCAAACAGGTTGATTCATTTTAAGCTTGATGGATCTTAACCTTTTCTCAGTCAGAGGAGGCGATGGCCTAGTAGTATTATCGATGGACTATTAATCCAGAGACCCAGATAATGTTCTGGGTACCCAGGTTTGAATCCTGCCATGGCAGATGGTGAAATTTGAATTCAATAAAATATCTAGAAATAAGGATCTAATGATGACTGTGAATCCATTGTCGCTTGTCAGGAAAAACCCATCTGATTCACTAATGCCTTTTAGGGAAGGAAACTGCCATCCTTACCTGGTCTGGCCTACATGTGACTCCAGACCCACAGCAATGTGGTTGACTCTTAACTGCTCTCTGGGCAATTAGGGATGAGCAATAAATGCTGCCTGGCCAGCGATGCCCTCATCCTGTGAATGAATAAAGAAACAAAAAGTAATTCTATGTTCCTGTGAAATATCAGACTTTGAGAATGAGATTTCTCCATGTTGGTTTTCAACAGGCTAGTAGGCTGAAGAAAACTGCAAGCATTTTCTTTCTCCCAACTTGATTCTTCCATTTTGTCACCTTTTCATTGGATATTTCTACCGTGGGCTGAAATTTATGGAGATGTTGGGGGCCCGGGATCTTGACAGTTGGTAAGAGATCTGTATCGCCTCCTCCATAAAGCACACTACTTGAGCAATTAACAGGCCACCATCAGGCCCTTCCCCAGGATCAAGGATCCTGAGGGTAGAATCCCACCTTCTGACAGCTGCTGAGAGTTGTTGAGGTGACTGAGTGAATTATTTTAACAACCAGTGCCATTCATGATGTATTCAATGACAAGCGTTATTCTCTTTTAATCCACAGGGTTCTCAAATATCTATTTGACAACACTTGGCTGGATACCTATACCAGAGCCATTTTTGTGGAATTCACAGTCTATAATGCAAATGTGAATCTTTTTTGTATTGCTACGTTAATATTAGAAAGTAATGCTGTAGGTAAGAAGCCTAATATTAATAAGATACGTTAATAAGATACATTAATAAGATACACTTTTTGAACATTCATCTGCATCAAATGTTCATAATGCCACTACTGTGAAGACCTACAAAATAAATTGGTTATACACTTACAACTGACTGCATCTGCAATTTCTACTTATGCCCAGATTTACAAAAAAAAACACCGGCAATTCAGGATGTTTTTCTGAAGAATGGTCCTGACCCAAAACATCAACTTTCCTGCTCCTCTAATGCTGCCTGGCCTGCTGTGCTCCTCCAGCTCCACACTGTGTTATCTCAGAATGTTGTATATCCCTGTTACCAACAGCACCAATACATAAAAAGCTTGAGCTAGCACTTTCATCAGCATCATTGACCTAATGGATCCAGTTTTCTTTCATCAGAATGAGTTTGTTTTAACGTTTAGCTCCTCCCCGCAGAGGGATCTTTAATTAACAAAATAGGTCTTTGGAAAATGAGCCACAGTTTATAGAGTGTTAGTGGTGTGACAGACACATGCTACTACAAGCAGCTCTTCAGATGTTGTGAGATTCAGCTGGGCTTGCTCCATGATCAATGCAGGAGTTGTTTCATTATATCAAGTGTGCTTTGGCAGGTGTTTGGCACAATGTCTGCCAACTTCATCCTGAGCTATTTCTTTGGCAGTTTATATTTTGTCTGTGGTGGTTTGCCAAAGCCTTTCATTCTCAGAAATAAGGCAAGAATGTAGATCCCAAATCTACCTTAGCTGGAGCAGGAACCAAGTATGCTTATTGTTGCTATTCTGAAACAGATGCTAGATGTCTAGGCAACAGCCTTAATCAGCCCCTGTTACACAGTGACGAAAGTTAGTTTTGTTTTAAATCAAACTGCACTAAGTTAGCGTTTTAAGTATATCAGATAATAATTCTTAAAGCAAATGTTAGTTTTATTTAATTGCTTAATTGCTTGAGTTCGTTACAGACGTTGTATTCTGTAATATGCAAATAGGTTTGAGTGGAAATTCAAGGAAAAAAAAAGTTCAGTTGAAAACTTAAACTTGATATCCATGCATGAAAATTGTAAGAAATTTCTATATTTCACTTTGGTCTACAAAGAATGGAACTGGGTAAACATTACAAATAGGGGAGCACAAAGTTTATTGTAATATCCAAAAAATGGACACCTGGAAAACATAAACAACTTGACATACTGTTCGTAGGCATCCTTTTCATAACTTCATTCTTTTCACATGTTAGTTTGGTGAAAATATACGACATAACAGCTGGATACAACTGTAATAAGCTAAATATTTATATCGTAAGATGACTTGGGGAAGTTGTTTTAGTGGAACTTTAAGGTTAAAGCTGAGTTACACACACTTCTACACGTATTTAAATCATTTGGTCAATTTTAATAAAGATTAGTTTCTTTCAGTTGAAACTAATTCGATGAAAACAGAACATTGATTTTGAAATGTGGAAGGGGAGGAACCAAACTTAATGTGTGTGATCGCCTTTGTGAGGGAAAGCTGCAACTGAGGTCTTTTTGCAACTGTTAACAGCCTACCCAAATATGCAGATAATTTAATCACTGGATTTTGGGATATGTTCTCTGGCCTGCAGTGAACAGGCATGGTGACTTATGCTGGCAAGTGAGCTCTCAGCAATTTCCAGATCTGGCATTTTAAATAGAGACAAGCATACAAGCTCAAATCTGGAATCCTTTGCAGATGTGTTCAGTCAAACAACGCACTGATTTCTGTTATACTTTGCAGGGGCCTTCTTTACTCATTCTACTCTTCAGAGTATCCGTCTCTATCAGTACACAGATGGGCTGCACATTTTTGTTGTTGCAGCTGAAGTGGCATATTTCCTCTTCCTCATCTATTACATGGTGATTCAGGTAAATATTCATGCAAAGAAACATTAATGCCAGCTACACAATCAGTGATAAATATCCAGTATTTAGAGAAACTGTGCTCAAAAATGTAATCATGCCATAGGTGAAGGTTTTGTCCATTTTCTGCATTCTGACCTGCACACAAACATAACTGAAGATGACCAAAAATATATTCCTTGGGATGGGGAAATAACAAATAAGTGGCATTCATTAAATTGTACATTATCACTGTATTCATGTTTTTGCATGGTCATTATCTCACTTAGATCTCCTTGAAGTATTGGTTCCAAAATGTTATTTGGGTTAATCTGTATGTGACTGTCTTTGTGTCAATGTCTCATATTTCATTAACGTATTTCCTGAAAATGTGATGGGTTTTGATAAATAAAATCCGAGTTGTTGACTCTAAGTGGGGATCATTCATTTCTACAAAATGTTTTGACGCTCCATTGACAGAGTTCCCCTGTTCTTTTTTGATATAATTGGGTGCGTGAATGTGAATACTATGTATTTATGTACGTATGTTGGACTGTCATCATGTGACATAATGATGATATCGATTATTTTTGTGATGAACAGCTCAGCTTAACCTTGCCGACTGCAGAGTGAATACATTAATAAAGTTCCTGCTGTTGTCTAACACTTTGGCCTCCTGGCCCTTCTTGAAATGTAACAGAGGGTGGTTTAGTCCTCCTCCATACATAGCATGATTCAGATTTAAGCTTTTGTACTAGCAAAACTGGCAGGTACTTTTTTTGTCCCCATATAGGGACAATTGAAGATCTAATTGTAAGTTATATATTCCAGATTATGAATTATAATGTCCAGATAATTGCACCTTGCGTAGCATGGCATGGCATTAAGGGTAAAGTATTAGCATGGATAGAGGATTGGTTGACTAACAGGAAGCAAAGAGTGGGGATAAATGAGTGCTATTCTAGCTGGCAGTCAGTGACTAGTGGTGTGCCTCAGGGATCGGTGTTGGGACCGCAATTATTTACAACTTATATAGATGATTTGGAGTTGGGCCCACGTGTAGGGTGTCAAAGTTTGCAGATGACACTAAGATGAGTGGCAGAGCAAAGTGTGCAGAGGACTGTGAAACTTTGCAGAGGAACATAGATACATTGAGTGAGTGGGCAAAGGTCTGGCAGATGGAATACAATGTAAATAAATGTGAAGTTTTACATTTTGGTAGGAGTAATAGTAAAAAGGATTATTACTTAAATGGTAAAAAGTTGCAGCATGCTGCTATGCAGACGGACCTGGGTGTCCTTGTGCATGAATCACAGAAGGTAGGTCTGCAGGTACAACAAGTAATTAGGAAGGCAAATGGAATTTTGTCCTTCATTGCTAAAGGGATTGAAATTAAAAGCAGAGAGGTTATGTTGCAGCTGTACAAGGTGCTGGTGAGGCCATACCTGGAGTACTGTGTGCAGTTTTGGTCTCCTGACTTGAGAAAGGATGTATTGGCACTGGAAGGGGTGCAAAGGAGGTTCACTAGGTTGATTCCGGAGTTGAAGGGGTTGGCTTATGAGGAGAGACTGAGTAGATTGGGATTATATTCATTGGAATTCAGAAGATTGAGGGGGGATCTTATAGAAACATTTAAAATTATGAAGGGAATAGATAAGATGGAAGTAGAGAGGATGTTTCCACTGGCAGGTGAAGCTAGGACAAGAGGGCATAGCCTCAAGATTAGAGGGAGCAGATTTAGGACTGAATTGAGAAGGAATTTCTTCACCCAGAGGGTTGTTAATCTATGGAATTCCTTGCCCAGTGAAGTAGTTGACGCTACTTCAGTAAATGTTTTTAAAAAAACGGTAGATTTTTTTTGAACGATAAAGGAATTAAGGGATACGGTGAGAACGCGGGTAAGTGGATCTGAGTCCACGAAAGGATCAGCCATGATCTTATTGAGTGGCGGAGCAGGCTCGAAGGGCCAGACGGCCTACTCCTGCTCCTAGTTCTTATGTTCTTATGTTCTTTATCTGGGTACAGTAATGAAATATTCCTTTATATGTCCTAATGAGTTTGATGGCCATTTTAAACAATCCCCATTCATTTTTAACTGCTTTCTCTTCATGGCTTTTAATTTAGTTGAGTTTCTCAAGATTAATAACCTTTATTTTATATAATCAATGCATGGCCCACTTTCACTTTTAACAGAGGTGGGATAGTAAGCAGGCAGACAATCTGCTAGTAGGGAGTGAAGAGTCATTGAAACCTCTTAAGGATGCTGTATTTCTTGATTTTAAATTGGTGGCATTCAGGATTCCCAGGTCTTGGGAAAGCCATCGGGTAAAAGGAGATGGGAGAGAGATGGATAGGGCAGCACGGTGGCTTGGTTGTTAGCACTGCTGCCTCACAGTGCCAGACACCCAGGTTTTTGTTCTAGCCTTGGGTGACTGTTTGTGTGAATTTTGCACATTCTCCCCATGTCTGTGTAGGTTTCTGTCGAGTTCTACGGTTTCCTCCCACAGTCCAAAGATGCGCAGGTTAGGTGGATTGCCCATGCTAAATTGCCCATGGTGTCCAGGGATGTGCAGGCTATGTGGATTAGCCATGGGAAAATGTGGGGATAGGATGTGGGGGTTTGGTCTGTGTAGGATATTCTTTGGAGATTTGGTGCAGACTCAATGGGTTGAATGGCCTCTTTCTGCACTGTAGTGTTTGTATGAGTCCCTGAGGTAAGAGCCTGTATTTCTCTCTAGGAGGAGGAGGAGTGTTCCCTCCAGGCTCAAAGAGCACCCAAGAAACTTCTTTACCATGATTTGTTTGCTTTTTCCCCTCTCCTCATGATCTGGCTCCACCATCATATGCTTTTCCATGATGTCAATCAGTTTCTACCCACCACTCCACCACCTTGACTAAGATTTGCTCCCCACTCGAATCAAAACCCCCAACCAATATTTCCCAGCCCTGCCAACGGAATCATTAGCAATATTTCCGATCCTGCCATTCGACTGCTGACTGCAATCTCTTCCTTCCTGCTGCTCTGCTGTCTCCTGCTACTGGTTTGAGTTACAAGGATAGGTTAGGACTTTTTCGCTTGAGCGTGGGAGGCTAAGAGGTACCTTACAGAGGTTTATAAAATCATGAGGGGCATAGATAAGGTGAATAGCCGAGGTCTTTTCCCCAGGGTAGGGGAGTCCAAAACTAGACGGCAAAGGTTCAAGGTGAGAGAGGAAAGATTTAAAAGGGACTTGAGGGGCAGCTTTTCCACACAGAGGGTAGTACGTGTATGGAATAAGGAGGTGAAGGTGGGTACAATTACAACTTTTAAAAGACATTTGAATATGTACATGAATAGGAAAGGTTGAGAGGGATATGGGCAAAATACAGGCAAATGGAGCTTTTTCAGTTTAGGAAACCTGGTCAGCATGAATGAGTTGAGCCGAAGAGTTTGTTTCCATGCTGTATGACTCTATGATGCTCCCATTGACAAACAGGCTGGTTACTGTGGGAGAAACCTGCAGAAAATATTTATATCACTTCCTGCATTTTTAAAACTGCAGAGCATTCAGGAAATTTGTACTTCTGGAAGGGTAACCAGACCCGAAACGTTAAATCTGATTTTGCTTCACAGATTCTGCCAGACCTGCTGAGCTTTTCCAGCAACTTCTGTTTTTGTTCCTGAATTACAGCATCCGCAGTTCTTTTGGTTTTTATTTTGTACCTCTGGGTTTCCCATCCAATGATCCACACACCCCATTATTCCATACCGAACAGGATAGTGATATAAGATTGAGCAGACTGAGTAATCTGGGTCCAAATATGAAGATTCACTAGGAGTACAATTATATGGAGATCAGTTCTGATAAAAGACTCTTGCCTAAGTTATCATAACCTATGCTTTATTTTTATTGAAGTTGACTGACTGGTTATGTATTTCCAGGTTTCCTGCAGTATTCTCAGACTTTGGCTTTTGTAATGTCCGTTTTATTTCTAAATTGTTTTGCATATCTTTCTTAGGGAAAATTATTGAGGGAGCAGAAGTGGAATTATTTCAAAAGCAAATGGAACCTTCTGGAGACAGCCATTATTATGATCAGTTGGAGCACACTTTCTGTATTTATAAAGAGAACGATTTTGGGAAATCGGGACATTGAGCACTATCACAGTCACAGAAAGGGGTATGCCATAATTTAGGATCTATATAAAAGCAAAACATTTTCATTAATATTCATTCTCGCCAAAGATTTTCCAGTATCAACTGTCAACTATTTCTCAATGAACCTGTAGGCCATCAGAAATGATAATGATTTGTGGACATTGCCAATTCACTCTACAGAATGAATGAATGAATGAATGACTGAATGAACAAACAAATGAAATAGTAAAGTAGACAAACAGGAGGCTGGAAGAACACAGCAAGCCAGGCAGCATCTGGAGGAAAGGAGCAGTCAATGTTTCGGGTATAACCCTTCTTCAGGACTCAGAATGAAACAGTAAACCTTACCAATTAACATCCTGTCTGCCTCAGCCTTGAAGACACTTAATGACCCAGCCTTCTGCGTTAAAGAATTGTGCAGTTTCACTACCTTCTGAGAGAAGAAATTCCTTCTCATCTCTATCGTAAATGTGCAACCCGTTTTTCTGAAATCTTGCCCTCTGGCCCTAGACCCTTCCAAACAACCTCTCCACATTAAGGGGGTGTACATCTTGCTATATGCAGTGTGCTACGTCAATCTCATGCCTACACCATGTACCTGGTGGCAAACACATTGCATGTGCAGCAAGCAGACAAATATTTCTCAAAGTCTTAGGGGGAGCTAGTCTTCATAGAAGTTCATGGAGGCACCCATCAGTCATGGGGATCCTGGCATAGTCAGTCAAGGACAGCATCCCATACTAATCCAAGGGATTGCCCATGATCAGACATCTGGTCAGGGTGGTCCGTGCCTCTGCAGTAGGTCATGGTCAGTCCTGTGGCTCCGCAATGACCAGTCCAAGGGGTAGGGCTAACAAAATGTAAGAGATGTACAGGCTCGGTCAGGGGTCTGGTCACTGCTCATCATTGGCTGTCCACTTAGGTTGCTCAAGGGGGTGTGCCAAGGTTAGTCCACAAGGTCTATCCACTGAAACTAAGGGGACAAGGGGGCACCACTGCCATGGGAAGCAGACTCAATAATTTATTCTTTGGCATCGAGACTGCAGGCTGGAGAGAAGGAGGATGACAGTTTTGAAGGCCAACAGTATAGCATGAATAGGAAGGGAGGTCATGCAAGAAAGGGTAGTTTGTCCATGGTCAGAAGCATTGTGGCCTTGATGGAGGACAACGTATGACCACACCTGACATGGTCACCTCATATGCCAAGGGTGGGTGAGGATGGTGAGCAGGTGCAGGCTCATGTAGACTGGGAAGGGTGGGGACCTGGGGTAGTACAAATCCTATGGGGTTTACAGGAAGGGCTGCTAGGAAAACCATTTAAATGTTTGAGGAACACTGACATGTAGAGGCAGACGCTACAAGCCACTGTTGCCTTTTGTTATCCTGGAAATTCAAATTATGCAATAAGGAAGAAAATGGTTGTGACTATACTCTGTGTGGGTGTGATATGTGTAAGGGTTGGGCTACAGGATCTGTTGATGTTAGGTCTTTTTAAGGGAATGAACATTGGACACAGACCCATACAATGTACAGAAAATAGACCTGAAGGGATCTCTAATCCCTAACCTAATTTGTTGCCCCCCGTTTCATTGTCGCTGCCGCACTCATTCGCACCAACTTCTCTCAGGGCACCTTGGCTTTTGGAAGATGGTGTTGCCACCTGAGATGCTAGTCTTTGGGTGGATATCCATTGATTGGAAGTTGTTCTGGGAACAATGCATAGTAACATGGGGCCAAAATCAGCCAAGACAAACTTCATTGGGGTGGGATAGGTATTTAATAGTCAAATTTGGTAAGATACAGCAAGAAAATTCACTGGACCTCATGGTGGCAAGCAATCCAAAAAACCTCACACAAATCAGACTGAGCCAGAAAATGCAAGATTCAGCATTTTGTTTCTCCGTCCACAGATGCAGCCAGACCTGCTGAGTATCTCCAGCACAATCTATTTTTATTTCATATTCTTCCTATTTTGCTAGTGTTCCTAAAAGTGGTCATTGATTTCTTCCAATCTTTCCTAGTGAGGACAAGGGAAAAGAAATAAAGGCTATGAAGTAGAAATTTTGCATCCTTACCACAAATGAAAACACTCTCTAACCACCGAAAGAATACTGAAACAATGATTTGATCATTATCATGTAGCACCTTACCAGATCCAAACTCACAAAGACAAATCTAGTTGCAGATCCATTACTGAAATAATGAAAGGTGTCTAAAGTACATTTGTACTGATCGATGTTGTTATTGAGGAGATGTTTAATCTGCATTTTGCTATGTTTCTCACAGGTTTGTGAGTTTCTACGAGACTGCAATGGCAGATGCAATCATGGGTTACCTGATTGCCTTCCTGGTTCTCCTAGCAACCATCAAACTTTGGCATCTGCTGCGCATTAATCCCAAACTCAACATGATCACCTCTACTTTAAGGAGAGCATGGGGTGACATCTCAGGCTTTCTGATTGTCATTTTGATCATGTTTCTTGCCTATTCTATTGCAGTAAGTGCTTATTTTACTTTATATCATATATTCCCAAAGTGTCATTAATTTTTTAATTGAAGTTTAATAAATAGTGTATTGTTCCCTCAGCTTATAAATATTTTAAAAATATGGATTTCCAACCCAAGATCAACTGAATTATGTGATGCACACAGAGATTTTCTGCTAATTTAGCTTATTCCGAATATTTATAATTCTTTGATTATTCCATGATATCTGTTTTAAATTTAATTTGTATTCATTTCCACTTGTATCCTCTGGGTTGTGTTTCTTGAGTCTCCTGATTGGAAGCCCTTCCATCCTCCAGAAACTTTGCCTCATTCAAAACACTGCTGCTCATTTCCCATTGTGCACCAAAAAGAATTCCACAGAAATTTCTTTACAAAGAGAATAGTGAAGGTGTGGCTCTAATGGAGGAGCTGAGGTGAATGGTGTGGAGGAGAATCTAGCTAAGTTTATGAAGGAGTGAGAAATCAATGGATATGTTGATCGAGTTAGATGAAGGACTTTGACAGCCTGAGAAAAGCATTGTATTGATCATAAATGTTATAGTGAAGTTAAACTGAGGAACTCATTCTGTGTTCATCCATTATCCTCAGACTCATTGATTGACATTGGCTCCCAGCCTGACAAACTATATTTGTACAGGCACATATGATGAAACATCAATGATTTCAATCTGGACAAGAGTCCATATCATAATGAAAGGAGAGCCAATGGGTGGGTTGTTAGAATTTCAAAGTATTATGGCTTCAGAGAAAGATTTTCCAGGAGTAGAAACACAAGAAAATGGAACTGGTAAGAGGATCAGTGAGATGGAATAACCATGTAAGGAAGTCTGTGTATAGGATAGTCATATCGGGAGCAGTGTGGCCACATAGGAAGCTGAGAAGTGACCTTATAGAGGTTTACAAAATCATAAGGGGCATAGATAGGGGTTAATGGTAGGTCTCTTTTCCATAGGATGGAGGATTTCAAGACTGGGAGCATATTTTTAAGGTGGGATGAGAGGGATTTTAAAAAGATGCAAGGGGCAATTTTTTTACACAGAGGATGATTCATGTGTGGAATGAACTTTTTTTTCCCTTATTCATTCATGGGAGGAGAGCTTTGCTGACCAGGCAGCATTTATTGCCTATCCCTAATTGCTCTGACAGCAGTTAAGAGTCAACCACATTGCTGTGGGTCTGGAGTCACATGGAGGCCAGATTCCTTCCCTAAAGGACATTAGGGAACCAGATGGGTTTTTCTTGACAATTGACAATGGGTTCATGGTCATCATTAGACTCTTGACTCCAGATATTTATAGAATTTGAATTGTACCATCTGCCATGGGAGGATTTGAACCCAGGTTCCCAGAGTCTCTGGATTAACAGTCCAGCAATAATACCACTAGGCCATTGCCTCCCCCTTCCTGAGGAAGTGGTGGATGTGGACACAGTTACAATGTTTAAAAGACACTTAGGTAAGTACATGAATAGGAAAGGTTTGGAGGGATATAGGCTAAGCGTGGGCAGGTCAGACTAGTTTCCTTTGGGATTGTGGTCGGCATGGACTGGTTGGACCAAAGATTCTGTTTCTATGCTGTATGGTTCTATGATTCTATGTGATGATGAGGTCAGGGGGTTGGGGCGTGCAGGGACAATGGCAGAGGGGGAAGAGTTGGTGACTGTGAATACAGGAAGGATACATTTAGAGAGGAAAAGAGGCATATTGAACCCAGAGGGGAGAGAGGAAGAAATGTTAAAAACTCTGAAGATGCAATTGGTTAAATATTCATTTATATTACCCATCTATTTGCAAAAATCTGAGATGCAAAACGATTTTGCTTTAAGTAATATCACAATTTTAATACGACTTTTGCCTTTGCGTTCAATTGTGTATTTTCAGGTGTTTAATAGACTTCCTGTTAGCGATGCGAGAATAGACATAGTTTTCAGGATCCCTTGGGCTTTCAGATTTGATCCTTTTCAGTTACATAAATCATTATTCATTCAACTCTATCTCTTTTCTACAGACAAATATAATGTTTGGTTGGAGCATGTCCTCTTACAAGACTATATTTGATGCTGCAGAAACAATGGTCAGTCTTCAATTGGGGATCTTCAACTACGAAGAGGTGAGGAAAGCAAAAGCTCATTATAATAATATCTCTGATCAGAACCTAGAATCTTATCTAATCTGTAGGTGATTCATTTAAATTTGTTCCAATAGGATTCACTGTTAATTTCTATTGTCATGTTGCTGATATAAGTTTTTTGTACATTATTTTTTACTCATTCATGTACTATTGGCATCACTGACTGGGCCAACATTTATTGGCCATCCCTATTTGCGATGGAGAAAGTGGTAGTAAGCTGTCTTTTTACTGCTATAGTTCTTGGGGCGTAGGAACACCCACAATGTTGTTAGGGAGAGACGTCCAGGATTTTGCCCCTGTAACACTGAAGGAATGGCAATATGGGCAGGTGATTGGCCTACTGGTATTATCACTGGACTGTTAACTTAGAGACCCAAGTAATGTTCTGGGGACCCAGGTTCAAATCCTGCCGTAGTAGATGGTAGAATTTGAACTTGATTTTAAAAAAAATCTGGAATTAAGAATTGAATGATGACCATGAATCCATTATTGATTGTTGGTAAGACCCATCTGGTTCACTAATCCCTTTTATGGAAGGAAACTGCTATCCTTACCTGGTCTGGCCTACATGTGACTCCAGACCCACTGCAATGTGGTTGACTCTGAACTCCCTCTGGGCAATTAGGGATGGGCAATAAATGCTGCCTAAAAGTGATGGCCTTATCTCGTGAGTGAATAAAAAAACAGGTAAGTTGAAGGGACTCATAGCCTTTGGTTGTTTCTTGATATCATATGGAGTGTTTCAAGTTGGCTGAAGACTGGCATTTGTAATGCTGGGGACCTCAGAAGGAGGCCTGACATGCAAAAGCACTTCTAGTTTTAAGGAAAAACTTGATGGCTTCATCTCAGCTAATGTGACTGTATGTATTTCTACTGAGAAATCTAGATCTTCACCAATGTACAATGGTAAGTATAACCATTCCTTATGCTATAACATCAGGTTACACCATGATAACATTAAGTGATTGATTTTTGGGGCCCTCTTTAGGTAATATTGATGAAATGGAGTACAGTTTGGACTGGATTGAACCAAATCCAATTAACACAAGATGCTGCCAGAGCTGCTGAGTATTACTGAGCACTATTGCTTTTATTACAAATTTCCTGTATATTTTCTTATTAGCGCGTCATCTTCATTTTATATGTTGAATACAAATCTAAGGCAACAATGAGCAGTAAGTGATTCCATTTAGCTAATCCAATCCATGTTTAATTAAATAAAGCATAAGCACTACAGCATTGTGTTGTGCAAACAAAAGAATGTATAAAAATAAACCTTTTGATCTTGTTAATAAAATATGTCTGGGGTCCAGATTTTCAGTCAACAGCAGGGTCAATATTGGGTGCAAGTCGAATGTAAAAACCACTTTCCCAGAGTGTGATTTTGGATTCTGATGCCTCTGGGACATGCTCCAAATCTCGAAAGGTTGGAGAGGGGAATTGGCGGGGAATCAGGTCACTTCCAATTAAGAGTCCATAAACTCCTTGGGGAGCTTGTTAATGGACTGAGCAAGGTGAGAGGGCAATTTTCAAATGTAAACTTGGCAAACTCAAAGTATGTTATAAGTCTTGCATGGCTAATGGGTTCAACGTGAGGAGGTGGATTTTTTTGTAAGCATAGGGGATGTTATTGGGACCTGCAGTGTCTTTTGCTAGGTCATGCACATTGCCTCTTACTCAACCAGATGGACACTTTCTGTAATTGTTGATGCTGCTGCCTCACAGAGGTGCTACTTGTGTTAGTGAAACACCATCAGGCACCGTCATAGTTGTAACCTGCCCTTGCTGTTTCTGTTGTGCAGACAGTTCGTATCCTCTTTTTACAACTTTTCACATCACAAATTGGGAACAAAACTGATGTCTTGCCTGAATAGGAAATGAATATAGCTTAATATTGATAAAGCTCGAGCATAGGATTGGAACCTAGAAATTATCCAGGTATCAGAAACTCAACCATGCTTTTAAAATCAAGCCCTAGATCCTAAAACTTTTCTAAATGTATAAGATGTGCTTCAATCGCATTCACTGCTTGAGACCAAGACCTGCATATTACCATCTGCAACGAATAAAATCTATGTAGAACATTGAATGATTCCAGTTGTGAATTGTGCTGATGGTGATCACACAACTCTGTGCATGCACATTCATCTCCTTTGGTAGTACATTTTTGAATGAGAGTTGACTGAAATCAACTGGACTCTCAAAAGAGTCTTTTTTTTATTCATTGGATGAGGGCATTGCTGGCTGAGCAGCATTTATTGTCTATCCCTAATTGCACAGGGGGCAGTTAAGAGTCAAACACATTGCCAGAGTGGGTAAGGATGGCAGTTTCCTTCCCTATAGAGAAGCAGATGGGTTTTTCTCGCAACAATTAACAGTGGATTCATGGTCATTATTAGAATCTTAATTCCAGATATTTATTGAAGTCAAATTCCACCAGCTGCTGTGGCAGGATTTGAACCTAGGTCCCCAGAACATTATCTGGGTCTCTGGATTAACAGTCCATCGATAATACCATTAGGGCATTACCTCCCCCAATATATTTTGCTTCAATGTAAGAATTGACAATAAATCTGCAGAATATTTTTTCTTAATCTAGCTCAACATCATGCTTTCTAGCATTTTAAAATCTTTGTTTAACACCATGCCTCATCTAGTGCAGAAATCAAATAATCAGGAATGGTCTCCCAAAGAGCTATCATTGCATCGTAATCCAGAGTAGGTATATGACTGCAGAGTTAAACTATAACTTTTGTCTTGTTGCAAAGTGAAAATTGTAACACAAATATAACAGCATTGTTGCACCTTTCAATTCCCATCTTTACAGTTCTAAAAATATTCAAACAACTTTTTGAAGAAAACAGTTTAACGACCACCATTTGTCACCTGGGTAATAAGTATCCTTGTGTATTAAAGCTGTAATTGTTTTCCCTTCAACACAATAACCTTTCACATCAAAAAACCAAAAGGACTACCAATGCTGGAAATCAGAAACAAAAACAGAAACAGAAATTGCTAGAAAAACTCTGCAGGACCGGCAACATGGATGGAGAGAAACCTGAGTTAACTTTTCGGGTCCAGCGAACATTCCACATCAGTTTGGTTCTGGATTCATGTCTACAAGTTATTCTGTTGAGTATCCACTAATATCAACAGTTATCTCCAGGTTACAAATGATTTGGCAGTTAAACTGGATATCAGAGTGCTCTTTGTGAGGCCCTGATTCGTCCAATTGGACAGTCAGACATGATCAGTGCTTATTGGAAGACCTGAATCTTGAACATTTCATAAATAGTTGTTTCAACATTTAAGATCAATATATTTATGAAAGACTAATATTTGACTTATTTTTGCCTTAACCTGACCAGGTATTAGACTACAACCCGATCCTGGGTTCATTTCTGATTGGATCTTGCATTGTCTTTATGACATTTGTAGTCCTGAATCTCTTTATTTCTGTTATTCTCGTGGCATTTAGTGAGGAGCAGAAGAATTACAAGGTTTGTATTACTTCAGCTTACTTCATTCATTTCTATTCAATTATACAAAGATGTGGCATTATTATAAGATATAAACATATAACTTCAACTATTCAATAATTGTTTTTTTACTCTTTCCTCATAGTTTTCTTTAGTTGAATTGCAGTGGGTTGATTAAACTGCAGTCAGGATTTGTTTTGTCCAATTTTCCTCCTTTTCTTAAGGACACAGCTTCAGTGATGCTCAGACTGTACACTATACTTCACACAATTCTGCATGTGTGAACACAGACAGAGACAACTAGTCAGTTATTCATCCATGAACAATATCAAGGGCTTGCCTGGTATCCCACTTAATTTGGAAGATGCAACATGCACCAATCTAAATATGCTGACCTCCACCTGACGCCCCACCCCAACCTAAACCAAGTTTCAGTGAGATTTTAGTGCCAAAATCTATTTAAGTTCAGCCACTTAGTTCAAACTTAGCAGAATATTGGCTAGGGAGGCATTTAAGGTTTGTTTACCCAAGGAGGAGGATTACTGAGGACAGAGTTTTCCAAACAACCAACCTACATTTCAACAGGAGAACTCAGCAATTTAACAAACAGCAAGATGTATGAAATTAATGAACAAGAAAAAAGCAGCTAGTCCAGTAAAACTGCCTCACACCTCAATAAAGCCAGAACATCATAACTAAACATGAGAGGCCATCAATATTAGATATGCACCAATAATTCCAGTAGGGAAATTTAGAAGAAACTTCATCAACCAGACAGCAGTGAGAATATGAAGGTGTAGAGCTGGATGAACACAGCAGGCCAAGCAGCATCAGAGGAGCAGGAAAGCTGACATTTTGGGCCTAGACCCTTCTTCAGA